GTGTGTGTGTGTGTGTGTGTGTGTGTGTGTGTGTGTGTGTGTGTGTGGTACTGGACTCAGAAATTCACCTGCTTCTGCCTCCTGAGTGCTGGGGCTAAAGGCATGCGCCATCACCACCCTGCTTTAGATCTGCAATTTTATTGTATGGAAATGTGCCCCCCAAAACAAATGAAACCCTCCAGCTCCATCATTTTGGAGCCTTTGCTATGTTCCCTGTATGCTCTCCACCAGGGCTGTCTGTCTTCTGTCTACACTGGCACTGCACACCTGCCCCTAAGTTCTGCTCGTCAGCTCCACAGCCTCTAAACCAGCACTCCGCATTAAATCTGAATCTCTGGTCTAGCATGATGGCTAATATCTGTTATCTCGGCAACTGGGGCGGAGTGGGGGCGGGCTAAGATGGGAGAAGTGTGAGTTCCAGTCCAGCCTGAGCTACATACAAAATGAAATCCACTACAGCCCCCCTCACCCCAACTCCCCCCAAACTCTGAGTCTCTGCAAGAACCTCCATCTGAGCTATTTCTTTAGTCTTTCCGTGTATTCCACACACACAGCACCCGCCCCGCCAGGCCTTGCAGTAGCCGGGTATTGTTTTCTATGTGAAAAAACAGAAGTTGAGGGCCTTGGTTTTCTTTCTTAGCTTTCGACACCCTCCAGCTGGAGCTCTCCACCGGCCCTGTCCAAGTGTCTGTGAAGCATCTCATTTCTAGGCTTGCAATTGCTCTTGTCCGATTAGGAGACCATAGTTACATTACCCTCTACTCCTCGTGGGTTTCACCAATGCCAATACTTGCCTCCCATATTGGGGCTGTTTTTCCAAAGGAACACAGTTGACCCACTTGGTTTCTCATGGAAAAGGTCACCCAGTGGCCATGCCTTTTTAGTAATTTGGCATGGTCAGGGCACGCACCTCTGAAATCCCCCTAATGTGCCTTTCTCAATCCAATTCCCAAGCCTTTTCCTTCTGTGTGGATTTTTTTTTCCATTAGCATTCAGTGACTGACAAATATCTTCAAAAGATGCTCCTAGCTTTACAAAGGACCTTACAAAAGATGCCAGAGAGACTCCGTTTCAGAAAAGGGTCCTGATGCAACCACCATTCATCCATCTTAGAACTTCTAAAGTGATGACCACTGCTGCCATTCAGGGATAGCCCAGTCCTGTCAAAGTCTCTCAGCGAGATATACGTGGCAGCCAGGCCTGATGGAGCAGGCCCATAATCCCAGCTACTCTGAAGGCTGAAGCAGGAAGACTTCAAGTCTAGGGCTAGCCTCAGCTACAGAATGAATTCAAAGCCAACCTAGGCAATTTAGTGAGATCCTGTCTTATATTTAAAAGTAAAAAGACAGCTGGGGGTGGGGGGTTGGGATGGTGGCACACACCTTAAATCTTCCTTTAGTTTGGAGACAGAGGCAGGTATACCTCTGAGAGTTCAAAGCCACATGGTCTACAGGGCAGTTCCAGGTAACCTAGTGCCATATAATGAGACCCTGTAGGGGTGGGACTAGGGATGCCACTCAGTAGCAGAGTGCTTGTCTATCAACCCTAGGTTCAATCCTCAATACCACAACATCAATTAAATAATTAACTAAAAAACACATCCCAACTGTTGCTAGCCACTGTTTAATTTTTTATTATTTTCATTTTAATAAACTGCAGCTGAATCATTACTAGGGCCCTGTCCAGCTTAAGATATTGCAATAGATGGGAGAAGAAGCATCTTCTGTGAAAATCCCAGATTACGAGGAATCTGTGATGAATGATTTAACCCGGCGTGACTTAGAATCGGAACCTACACCTTCTGGACCTCGAAACCTAGAAGGTTGTGAAGAAATGAATGGCAAATAAAATGTTTATTCAGAAATCACAGGGGATGTGCCATGCAGGAGAGATCCGCAAAGACAGGAGAGCCTGGGCTATACCACAGTAGGAGGGTGCTTGCCTGGTCTGCATAGAGCCTGGGCTATACCACAGTAGGAGGGTGCTTGCCTGCATGCATGAGAGCCTGGGTTCAATTCCCAGTGCAGGAAATAGGCCTCAAGAATGAACAGTCCTGCCAGGTGGTGGTGGCACACGCCTTTAATCCCAGCACTTGGGAGGTAGAAGTAGGTGGATCTCTATGAGTTCGAGGCAAAGCTAGTCTACAAGAGCTGGTTCCAGGACAGTTAGCTAGGACTATTAAAAAAAAAAAAAGAATGAAAGCTTTGAATTTTTTGATCCTCCTGCCTCAGCCTTCCCAAAGCTGGGATTACAGGACTGGACAGCAATCCCACAGGCCAAGTTCTTACAAATATTTTGAAAATCCTGGTTTTGTTGTCTCCTTTCTTTCCCAGAATACCAAAGCCCAAAAGAGGAGCCACAAATCTGTGTGTAAGGACGCAGAAAATATATTCATGACACACTAACAAGAGCGGGCAGTTTTAAAAGCTTATCTTTAAAAATTGCTAAAAACAGAATTGAGATAAAAACTTCTTAGTTATGAATTTTTAAAAATAGAATAAAGTAATACTTAATTGGTAAATTGTGCTTCGTCAAAATTTAAAATATTTGTGCTTCAGACACTACCTTTTACAAGGAGTAAGCCACAAACTGAAAGAAAAATATTCAGAAATCATATCTGGTAAGCAACTTGCATCTGGAATATATAGAACTATTTTGATTCAGTAATTTAAAATAAGGGTGGGGGTGGGACTCAGTGGCCGAATACCTGCTTAGCATGCTTGAAACCCTGAATTTGATTCCCAGTATCACACACACACACACACACACACACACACACACACACGTATGAACACACATGCATGCACAAAATAACCCAGCTGAAAAATGGACACAAGAATTGATCAGACATTTCAATGCTAACAAATAATCCTGGGGACACAGAAAAGCGGGCAAAGTTCCTGCAGGTCCATGAAGACCTGAATTCTGATCACTCATACTCACATGAAAACTAGAGATGGTGGCCCAGAGCTACAACCCGAGCACTGGGCGTATGGAGGCAGATTGGCTCCTAGACTGACTTTCCAGCCAATCTAGCAGAGACAGAAGACTCTAAGTTCAGTGAGAGAGCTTGTCTCAAAAAAGACGAGGAGGACAAGCAAGGAAAATAGCTGAAGTCAACCTCTGGCCTCCACATACATACACAGGGACAAACATAAACATACAAGCACATGTTCACATGTACATAGACCACACACACACACACACACACACACACACACACACACACACCCTAAAAGGCCAATAGGCACATGGGAAGCTGTTTGATTCCATCGAATATAAACCAAAACTACAGTGAGATATTCCATCATGCCTACTAGGATAACTGTGATTTAAAAACACAGACAAGGGGCTGGAGAGATAACTCAATGGTTAAAGAACACTGGCTGCACTGGGCGTGGTGGTGCACACCTTTACTCCCAGCACTTGGGAGGCAGAGGCAGGTGGATCTCTGAGTTCGAGGCCAGCCTGGTCTACATAGTGAGTTCCAGGACAGCCAGGGCTACAACTAGCTGCTCTGGCAAAAGACCAGGATGGACCTGGATTTGGTTCCCAGCACTCACATATTGGCTCACACCTATCTGTAATTTCATTTTCAGGGGACCTAATGCCCACTTTTGACATGCATAGGTACCAGGCACACAGGTGGTACATATAACACTCATGC